TCCTGTTTTTAATGAATATCTGACACTCAGCTCTGAGGAGAGAAGCCTTCTGTTTCTTTGGAGGGGTCTCCTGGGTTTAGGGTCTTTGGAAAATTGGAAGTTCTCAGTTTTAATCATAACATTGACATTGTTGGCTTGGAAATCTGGTCGATATCGGAGCCTGTGTAACCAGTTTGTGCCTCTTGCTGAAAAAAGTGTGAAAGTATTCAAATGCAGATGTGTATCTGAGAGGGTGTTTGTTTTTTGGTATGGTTCTTGTATTTGTTTATACGGTATGTATAATTGTTGAAAATAAGAATAAAAACATTGATGGAAAAAAAACATTGACATTGTTGTGTTTTATCAATATAGGTATCAGCTTCAATAATTGATGGAAATGTGTTTTATACTCTGTGTCTATGAGGAGTTCTGAGAGTTTGGGTGTAGTGTTCCTCTTTAAGGAAAAAAGGGGGCATGTGGGATAAAAAAGAAGGAGGTTTTTTTAATCTAAAGGCAAAAAATAGTCCGGCCGGATGGTGGCAGAAAAAATAAAGAAAATCAACAAGATCGTTGGAAATATGGACTTTAAAAAGAAATAAAAAAAGAAGTGGAGGCTTGGAGGATTTATCTCTTTTTCCGTTAGATGTGCTGGTGAAACCCATCTAGTTTATTCAATTTTTTCCTCAATTTTTTTTTTGTGCAATGGATTGCTAAAGATTGATTCTGGGACTTGTTTTTTTTTGTACATTTTTGTTGCTTTTTTTCAGTATTTTTCAGGTTGACCGGTATTGGATTTACACTATAGAGAAAACTTTGGGGTGAATTGAAGTGAATTGATTATGAATTTTGTGCTCATTGATAAACAAATACAGGTGATTGTTTTGGGGACAAAGCATGATTGGTGTAATGGTTATTTTTATAACATGTTGATGGGAAATTTTCACAGATAAAAGTTGAACATTGTAGTCTGAACGTATTTCATTAACATTTTATGAAGTTCCTTAAGTTGACCCGTTTCTTTTTTTAATTCACCTCTGTGTGCATATCCAGGTTCTTCCTGATGCTCTGTGTTTTCCTTCTGGGCTCCTTGCTCATCTGAAGAGGGGAATAAAAGTCATTACGGGGGTTTCAGACTCATGTAAAAACGACGTGAGAAGACTAAAGTAGGCTCTGGTTACACAGAGACTCGATCTGTCAGAGATCTGACAAAGATCATGTAAATCTTTACCCCTAAAAACAGTAAAAATGTGGTTTCTGTCACTTTAAGGAGGTGGAAAAGGAGTTACAACTGCCAGAAAACTGCAGGTCAGTCTGAGTAAAAAAGGCATTTTTACGGGGGCTGAAATAGTATCATGTAAATCAGGAGTTTTTCTAAAGCCCTTATTAGGCAGACGGAGCCGAATAAGCACAATGTTGCTGAACCTGTTGAGCAAGAAAACTATCCACGTGATTTAAAAGTGAGGAAATCAGTGCTGGAGCACGCCGAAGAAAATCTGTGTGCGTTTGGCTTTGTTCCCTCGTTCTCTCTCGAGTTTGTGCGTCTGAAAAACACCCCAGAAAGTTCATGTTAGCGGATATTCTTGATTCCACGAGAAGCCTCACCTGCCCAGGTGACGTATCCGCAGCCAATGGGCGGCAGACAGGGGTCGTGCTCTGATTGGCTGTGATCCCAAACGCCAGACTGAGTTTGGGTCGACCGAGGCTCAGCCCAGGAGCCATTTTAGACTCAACGACCACGGTAAGAGCTCAGTCCCCTGTTTACGCTTTGACGCAGAAAAAAAAACAGTAGCTGACTTTTCTCTTTTTATTCTCGTTTGACAAAAAGTTAAAGAACCGCCTGAATAGTTTGCGTCAAACATGTAGATAAAAAAAGCTAAAAACCTTTTGGAAGAATTGTCGCGGAAACAAACTCCTGCTCAGAGCAGGATGTTTTTGTTACGTTAAATACTAAAATGACCGTAAATACTAAAGTTACTGTAAATACTAAAGTTTGTTTATTGTTCTAATGAGATCGCTCCATCCAGTTAAGCTGAGTTAAAGTGATTCGTTTTATTATGATTGTTATATCAAAAATCCTTTCTTCTTGTGACATTGACCTGTAAAAACCGGAGCTCAAACCAGCGGTAAAACAAGGTCATGTTAAAAAAATGTTTTTAAAGCGATGTGCATGGAGGAAAAAACTTTTTTAAAAGTTTTGCACATGGAGGAGCACATGGAGGAAGAGGGCCTCGCCGCCCGGCTGTATTGCGTCAGATTTGTGCGGCGAGTTTTGGCGCCATTTTAAAGCCTTAAAGGCAAAATAAGGGTGTTCAGTGAAGGTTTAGAGACAGTTTGGGTAGAGTTTCATTCCCAATAATCATTTTCCATACTGCCAGGGTGTGTGTGTGTGTATATATGCACATAGTTTGGCAGGATGGTGCAGGCAAAGGGAGGGGCGACTAAGCGGCCCTGTCACAGAGACCGTCTCCTTCAGGGTGCAGAACTCCGGTCCTCTTTTAGACATTTTCCTGATTCTGCTCGCCTGATTCTGGTTAAACTGGATCTCCTCTGGACATTTTGGAGCAACACAGGGAAACGGGGAAAATTCTAAAACCTGCAGGACACAGAGGCCCGGAGAGGCCCGGGGGGTTGCCTGTTTAAAGATAATCTGTTTCTGACATTCTAAAATAGTTCCAGACTTTTTTAATAACTTAAATTGTCAACTTTATAATGCTTTAATTTCTTTTCACCTCACATCCTTAACCCATTAAAGCCTGATCCAAGAATAAAACAAAACACAAAATGACGTTTTTTTGGTTTGAATTCCTTATTTGGCCTTTTAACAAAATATGTAAAAAGAAAAAACAGAAATACATTTTTAATATTAATGATTTATTACTATGCGATAAGTCCAGATTATTTTTTGTGTAGTCTTCTGCCCCCTGTTATCAGGTGTATCTGATTGTGTACAATAGGATTTTGAGCAAAGTTTTTACCATTAAATTATGCAAAAGGAGTCAGACACAAAACATTTCAGAAACTGTATGAATCAAATATGATACATTTAGCATTACAGGGTTAGAGATCCAAGAAGTTTGTCACCAGCTCCTAAACTAACGTGACCTTTGAGCAGAAATCTGAGCTCTGATCCTCCACGGTGGATCCGTTTAGTTTTTAAAGGGAAATGAAAGTTGAATTTTTGTCTGTACATGTTCATTTTCTTACAGATTGCGGCGGACTTAACCCAAATCTTAGAAGTGTTGCCTCCAGAGAAGCGCATTCAGATGATTTTAGGAGGAAAACTTTTGGCAGCTCCCTCCTTTCTGGTAACTTCAACTGTTTTAGTGAATGACAAACCTTTTGAAAGTCCTGAAGCTGATTATGCAGCTAGCAGAACAACACTCGACATGAAAGGTCTTTGTTGTTCATAATGTCTCAAATTCAATAGTTTTCCTGCATTTTAGGTATCGTAGAAAATAAGCTTGTATTTGACAGACTGTATCTTCTATCTAATTTCACATTTCTGTTTATTCATGAAAAACTGAACCTTCTTTTCATGGTTTAAGCCTGAGAGAAGATGTTTGAGCTGATGATAGAACATTTGTTTGAATACATAATAGACAGTTCTACACTCACCTATAGATAAATGAAGATAGTTTTAGAAAATGATCATTTTTTTGCATCTCCAGCATACGTTAAGTGGAAAAAGACTGACTTACATGGGAAAATATTATTTTGTGGCAGTTTAGAATTTTTCCATATTTAGATTATATTCCTAAACACTTGCTGACTGACACCAACATACTTTAAGAATCTGTTTCTGTCCACAGCTGTTTGTGATGGGAGTCTTCACTGTTCCTGCTCTCTCCTGTGAAAAATACTGGTATAAAACAAAGAGCGGATGCTGTGAGATGTGTTACCCTGGTAAGAACCACAAACTATCCACGCTGGTGTTTTGTTCACACGTTTTCCTCCTTTTACTGTTCTGCTGCTTAAATTCAGAAAGGAAAACTTCTTCTGAAGAAAGCACAGAAAAACAGTTCCTGTGGGAACAATCGCTAACTGGAGAGTTTTGTGAGGTTGCTCATGAGAACAGCTGTGTGCAGTGGACATTTTGTTCAGAGAACTCAAATAATATGTTGCTGAATCTTTTATTCAGCCTGATCTTCATTCTAACTTTTAGATGAGGAGGAGAGTTAATGGAGGCTAATGAAAGCTACAGAGAACCCCTTAAATGTCCAAAAGATGCCTGTTGTAGAGAATTCTGAAGCCCTGAGGGGGTTTGATGTTTTGGATTTAGTCATGGAGTCTATTTGAAGGTCTCCTATTTCAGTATTAATGTGATTACACTGATGTCAATATTCTGCTTTCCAACAGGAGAACGATTCGAATCAGAATGTAACGAGTTCAAAAGCACGTCCTGCATTCCCTGCACAGATGGAACATTTCTGGACAAACACAACAAGCAGAAGCAGTGTGACACATGCAGGAGCTGTGATCCAGGTGGGTTCCTGCTCTGTTTCCAGCTCCTCACGGTTTCTCATCGGGGGGAGAGTTTTCTGAGCTGTGCACGTGTCCACAAATTCAGGGATGAAAGTAAAGGAGCCGTGCACATTATGGTCAGACACAGTTTGTGAATCCATGGGTGGAGGAGACGTCCCTTCAAACCCCACAGAAAGTGGCTATGCAGAAGCTAAGCCACACACTGCCACTACACAGCCACACAGACAGTAAGCAGCTCCTCACTGCAGCACAGACACAGT